TATAAAGGATGTTACTGGCACTTTTATCCCCAAGAAAAGTCACGCAGAAAACTCTCCTTACCCGGACAAAGCTTCCAACTGCTGGTCGAGCTCCCGAAGCCTCGCCCAGTACCCACTGGCAAGCTCTTGGTACTGCTGGATCACCAAGGTCTTCAGGTCAGGGTAAGGGCATTCCAGAGACAGCAGCTCAGCAGGAACTTCATGGAAAAGTCCATTTTTCTCCTCAAAAGAGCCCATTAATGCCTGCAATGAGGAAATGCTGCTCAGAACACTGCTCTGCATCATATTTGCTCTCTCAGGAAATTGCTAATTGAACCCATAGAGAAAAACTTACATTTGCTCTGTAGTCTTCAACCTCTCTCTCCAAAGCCAGACCTTCAAGGATAAGACCTTCCAAAACTGCCTTCTGCTGGTTCTTTACAAATTTGATCTATTTTGTGAAATAAGTTACTGTAACTTCTTCATCTTGTTACAATACGAAAGCTCTCACTTAGAAAGTCAGATTTCCAGCCCTACACTGCTACACTTGCACAGATTTCAGTGAGCAGAGATCTATACCACGGCGAGTAGAGAGGTTACAGGAAACTCTACATGTCAGTTAGTCTCAAAGTTTAACAAAAATAAATGTAAATGCTAAAAATATGGTGATAATAAATTGCAAAAACAAAGTTTAAACACCAACCCGCTGCAACATCTCAAATGAATTGATCTCAGGTTTCTGACAAGATTCTTCCAAGAGGCAACGCTGAGAGGCTTCACAAAAACGTTGCATTTCTGCCAGCTTGAGTTTCAAATCCTCCTTGAGCTGCCAGACAGGAACTACAGTGTTTGTTTGGTGAGTGTCCCGCTCCCTGGACAACTCCTGCTCTGTATCCAAACGAAACAAAGCTTTCTCAGGCACACAAAACATTACACAGCACTGCGCTCTCCAAATCTAAGCCTGTCAAGACAGGGGTTTAAAAACTCAAACAATCAATCGAGATCATTTTGACTTTAAAATAATAGTGAAGAAATTAATAAAAATTCTTACCCAAGTCCCTCAAATCCAAGAAGAAGTTGTGTTTATGGCTTTCTTCATCAAGAAAAGTCTTTATTTCTCCTTCTGCTTTTTGCCTGAAAGGTATGAACATGGATTTTACAGAAGCTTTAATTTCTTATTCATTTTATTTGCGAGAATGCTACGCCTCAAATAATCAATTAAAAAGGAGATCCCTTGCCTGGGACAGTAGGAGGTGCAGGATGTGGACATGAAGGTGGCAAGGAAGCCCCAAAGGTTGCTGTTGATCTGTGTCTGTACAGGAACAGGCACTAGGCAGGAGCAGTGTCAGTGTATCTATATATCAGTATCTATAGCAGTGTCAATAGACAGGAGCAGTGTCAGTGTATCTATATATCAGTATCTATAGCAGTGTCAATAGACAGGAGCAGTGTCAGTGTATCTATATATCAGCACCTATAGCAGTGTCAATAGACAGGAGCAGTGTCAGTGTATCTATATATCAGTATCTATAGCAGTGTCAATAGACAGGAGCAGTGTCAGTGTATCTATATATCAGTATCCATACCAGTGTCAATAGACAGGAGCAGTGTCTGTATCTATATATCAGCATCCATACCAGTGTCAATAGACAGGAGCAGTGTCAGTGTATC